ATTCAGTCAGATGAGAAAATCTGACAGTGGGGGAAATAAAAACGATAAAACAGCTATCAATTATTTACATATTTCTGTTAGAGGAGGATTTATTCAAATGCTAAACTCCCAGTATGAGAATAGAAAGCATCTCTCTCCTCCTGAGACAGAAGCTTCCAGAGAACAAAGCCTGCGACTTTAACTGGAGCATGTTCTCTGAACATAAATCATGTTACTGCTCGTTTAGCCTCAGCTGGATGCTGACTGGCTGGCAGGGAGACAGGGTGGGGTCGGATGCTAGCGGGTCGGATACCAGATCTGACGCTTTGCTCTGCAGGGTCGGCCCACAGAGGAAAACTCTGACTGCCTGCACATAATGCAGCTTGCTGTCCTGCGGTGGACTAAGCGATGACTCACTGTCCTTGTGGTCCAGTTTCATCCCAGTTCTGCAGGGAACTGTGTGCATGCACACTCATGTATCACACAAATATTTATCACAAATCAAACTCAAAAAAGCCTCTATACACACCTGGAAACTACATAAGGTGTGTTTTACAGCATGTTCAAGGATAAAAGCTGCAAAATGAGCAGGACACCATCTACTGACTAATTTGTTTATTAGAGATGAAACGAATAATCTGATTAATTGTGATGAATCGACTATTCAAATAATCATCAACTAGGCCTTCCACAATAATTAATAAATCAATTAATCACATAATAAATTAAAACCAGGTCAATAATTTCCATTTGCATAATTTATTGTTTTTTCTCTTTCTACTAAAATCGGATGATTTGGTTCGGTTTGGTGCTTTGGTCTCAAATAACTCCTTTTGTTGAAGTGAATTTGCCATTTTAAGGACAAAAATAGTTATTATTTTCTTCAAATAATGTTAAATCTAATCTTCCTTCAAAATTATTTAAAGAATAATTTTGTTAATAGACTTCATAATTTATTTTTATTGTCTGTGTCTGTGTTGTTTTGTTTATTTATTTCGGATATTTAAAATGTCTTTCAGGTGTAGATGCTCATTAGAATTTAAAGTTTATTCATCTATAAGAATGTGTTACATTATTATGCCAATCCCATTATATTACTGGGAAATTGTCTCAAAACAATAATATTATTGTTTATGGCAATAACTTCCGGGGAAATTTGTCATCAACTAATTTAGTAATCGATTAATCATTAACTGAACTAAAAAAAAAAAAATCATTGAAAAAGTTACAGATTTGGAACAGTAATTAAGTCAAAACTATAAAATTCATATAAATTTTGAATTCAAGATAAAAATATTTTTCTGTAAATACGTTTTATCCGACATTCCTAAAGTGATTTAGTTTTAGATTCATCTGGTGCAATAGAATGATACGTTATATAAAATAATAATGTATAAAATAAAATCTTTATTTTTCCTTTTTAGAGAAGAAATTCTTTATTAATTTGCATCTTTTATTGTATTTCTAACATTGTATAAAAAAAGGGGGCTAAATTAAAAAAAAATCTGTGGAATGTGGAAATATTTTTGATCCGATTAATCGATTAATCATAAGAATAATTGGTTACTAAAATAAGAGTAAGTTGCAGCGCTGCTGTTTACATGCTTAATGTTTCCCTTTCTGTTTGTGTATTCTGCTTTAATTTAAAGCGAGTTTTCCCTGCGTGAACTGCCAACGCTTGCAGCTCAACCTCAAGCTTAGAACGAATAAACTTCTGTATTTATTCACAGCATGAATATGAATTAGAATCAAGACTAACGGAATAATCTCACAAAAAAAATGCAGTTTAGTGTTTAGGAGGAGATTTTGTTTAGTCATTATTAAGCAAATAGCTGCTGTATTAGATTATTGTGCCGTTCTACAAAGTGCTGCAGACACGCTAATCACTTTTGTGCCCAATAATCCAGAATAATTTAGGATAAATTAGGTTAAAGGTTGCCCTCTTCTTCTTGGATGGCATGATTATTGCACACAGTAATAGTGTTTTGATGGTGCAAACTGTCACTTTCTGTACTTCGTGATGAAGGTTTCAAGTTTCTTTTCTCTTATATTGCATTCCCACATCAACATTTTTTCCCTGGATCTCAAATTTCAGGGGGAAAATACAGAACCTTGTTTTATTTTTAAAAAGTTTTTGGATTGAAAAGCTTTGCTGTAATTACAAACTGAAATCTATGAAAATGGTGGAAATGTTCTACTTTCCCTTAAAACCCATTAAGGTTCGTGTTAACTGATTTGACTGAATGGACTTACTAAGTATTTTCAGACTCTAAAAATGTCAATAAATAACCAAAAATATCCTGATGGATCATTCTTTGACCAAACATAAATCAGTGCTGTTACTTAAAAACAACATAAAACATATTAAGTCAAGTAAAAGTAGCACACACTACTTCAACATATTTCTACTAAAGTAAAGAAATTAGAAACAAGAGTAAAATCATTTGGTAAAACATCTACTAAAAGTACTGAGTAACTAATAGTATTATCAGTCATTTACTATTTAAACATGACATCATCAGATGGACCAGCATATGGAGTTAAGTGGAGATTTTGGTATTTTAAGAACGAAAATTGCAATAATTCATACAAGCAGCAAAAAATAGCTTATAGGCAAAAGAAAATGTTTCCAAATCAGTTTCTCAAAAAAACAAAAAAAAAAAATAAAAATACTTATGAAACTTTAACAAGAACTGCAGGTGTGTCTGTATCTGGTGAATTTTTGGTTGAAACATGTTTGTTTTTCATCCAGTGGGTGGAAAATCCAGAAATTTTACTCAAGTAAGAGTAGAAATACTTTATAATCAAATTACTCAAGTAAATGTATTTGAGTAAATATAACCAAACTTTGAATCTTTGGTTCTAGAAACTTCAATTAAAGAAACTAAAAAATAAAACAAAATGGGACATTAAAGGTTTCCTTGAATAATAATAAAACACAATAATGAAATACAATATTTTTGTCATCTTATTTACAACCATGAACACTTTAAGCCTGCTGGAGTTTCATAGAAACATCTGAGGTTTCTACTTGCAGAGTGACGTCAAGCTAAACCCACCAGCATGTTGTTTAAGCCTCATCTCATTTTCAATATCGGCCCCCACCTACTCCAGATAATTATGTTCCTCTGTAATATGAACATCCTGAGCTAACGACCCTCGGAGCGCTCGGCGTATCAGCTTTTTCCGCTCTGTGCTCCCGGCCGGACAAAAACTCCTTCTGTGCAGACTCAGAGGAGAGCAGGAGGCCATTAAACGATCGGGCATGAAGATAGGAGGAGAGCCGCTGCCTCTGCTGCACACAGCAAACGGATTCGACCCGACAGCTGCACACACCCAGTCAGTCAAGTACAGGCTGAGTTAACACTGCAGTACTTTGTGCCAAGTCATCAATCTGGAAGTGTTGGCAAAAAAACTCAGGAAAAATGAGGAATAATTAAGAAACAGGTGAAAATGAGTGTAAGCGCTGATTTAAATGCTATAAACATAAAAAGCAGAAGTGCTGAGACATGGAAGCTGAAGAGGTTTATCTACAGCGAGGTAAAGGTGGGCCACTCAACACATTAAATATTAATCAGCTGTGAACCTTGAGTCAGATAGGGACATGAAAACATGCACTTACTGGTAAAAAAAAAAACAAAAAAAAAATCCACTGCTTTTTACCGAGTGCACTGTTAAAACAAACTGTTAGAATTAACCAGTTAAAATGCTGTTAAACTTACAAACATCTTAGTTTGTTAGATCTAAATTTACATTCCTGAGTATAAATTATGTAAATTTAACAGCTAAAATACGTTCAAATAAACTTGCTACCTTCTGTCTAACAAAGGAAACAAAAACATCTAAATTAGATTGTGGCTAAGACACCAACAGGTGTCCGCATATCAACAAATCTGAATATGTGTTTATATGGAAAAATCTACTTGTTTGCAAGCAAACAAAGGGCTAGGGTTAGTTTGTTTTTAGTTTGTAATTAAATGTTTACAGCTCTTCTTTGTGTTTGATCTTATTTTGTTTAAAAATATGTTTCAGCAGCAAATAATAACCAATGAAATATTTCCAGATTTGATCAAAAATCTGTGTTGAATCCCACATCAAATTATGCTTAAGGCCCCAAAAAACCTTGGACTGGCCCTGATGACACATGTAAACACATTGAATTATTATTTTTGCTACTTTTGTAAAGATATTTTTTCAAGATTTTAGTTTGGGCTTTTTTTGTTGAGAAAAAATATATCAAATATAAGCTACTAAGCCAAATATTTACTCAACAAAGTAGGTTTTTGTGAAAAATGCAAACAATTTAAAGAGAAATCTGAAATGTCATATTAAAGTTAATATATTTTACACTAAAGGAAGTAAAAAAATAAAATAAAGGAATTTCAAGCAAGTTTTGTTGACTCGGTTCGACTTGGGTCTTTAAAATGTAAATTCAAATTTATGGGTTCATATAAATAATTCATAACCAATGAAATCAAAAATTTCTACATCAGATAATCGATTGATAATTGTTGGTAACAGCGAGAAATGTTAAAACCCTGAACATAAGTTTAGATAAATCCAGATTTATGACTTCGAATGGGCCCTGAACAATCCATAATCAAAGGTATCTAACATTTCAATCAACTAATTGATTGGTAAGAAATTACATTGGTTGCAAAGTATTGGTATTGATTGGTAAGTAATGTTAACGATTGGAAATGGTACAACACAGAGCAAATGCTGTAAGAAGAATGTGCTCTCAAACCCAGATTTACTGCTAACATTTTAATCGATTAATCAATTAGTCTACAATATCAGTTGGAAAAGTGAAACTCTGAAAGAAAAGTGCTTGTTCTTTGGTTCTTAAGCTGTCAAATGTTTGCAGATAAATCCAGATTTACGCCTTGAAATGGGTCCCGTTTAACCCATAATCAAAAGGAATGTGAAAAAGTAAATGACCAATCGATTAGTCAGTAAGGACAACCATTGGAAGCGGAGTGTTGACTCCGTGACCTCTGAGGTGAACTGCTGTGACTTACTCGAACGCGAAGAAGAGGGAGCAGGTTCCGACGATGAGGAACAGGGTCAGGTAGAAGATCCCCTTCTGCCGGGCCATCATCACCCTCCCGTCGCAGCAGAAGGTGTTCTTCCCGGGGAGCTTCTCCCATTTCCGCACCTTTCGCGTTATCATAACCGCCGACATGCTGGCTGCTTTCTCCTAAATCTTCACTTCTTCAAACTGGGACAAACAGAATCGGGTCAGTGGTGGAGAGGTTCGGTCAAAACAGGCGGGTTGCTCGGATGTTAAAGACTTCCGCTGCATTTTGTGTTTGTTTTATTTTTTCCTTTTTGGATTGTGGCTGTCACATCGTTGCTGCTTCCCACTCCATCTGACTGCAGAGTGTTTTTATTCCCTTTCTCCTCAGGCAGGTCTTTAATCCCTCCGGTCCAGATGATTAGAAATCCATCCGAAACCACTGCGACAGATGTTTCCCACTAGAAAGAGAGGAAATCCAGCCGTGGTTGTTGCAGAGCGGACCTTGACCGCTTGACTTTCACATCATCTCGATAAAAATAATAATAATGATGATAATAAATGGAGCTGCAGCAGAAACAGCCCCGCTGCAGACACAGAACCCCGGGCTGAGAATAGGATGCAGTCAGATCAACCGGATCATCGTAAAAAACTGGAATAATCTGATTTTTTGAGCAGAAATGCGCTGCGCTGTGAACAGCTCCGGTTTTTTTCCTGCAGGATGAGCTCTTGGTTTTAGTCAATGGCAGCAGGAAACACGCCTAGATTGAAATGTCTTGTCTTAAAGGGCCAGCACAGGTGAAACAGAGGAACAAAGGAACAGATTCAGCTCCTTTCACAAAAGATTGAGAACTGTTTTACCATCATTCTGTGGAAAATCAACAACTAACTTTAACTCTAATACTGTTTTATTCATGTTAATTACTTAAATTAAGTAGTTTGCTTGTTTTATTATTGTTGTTTTTTTGACCAATGCTCAAAGCAAAGAGTCGTTTTTAACCGCATTATTAACAAATTAATTTCTTTAAAGCCATTAAAATCCTTTGTAAAAAGGCCCAGCTTAATAAAACATACTATATAAAATATATGTAGTTAAAGAGAAACAGTTATATTTCTATTGTAGGATGATAAATTCATCTTGATATATCTTCTTATAAAGATCTTTTTACATAAAACATTTTATTTATCTGTAATGTGTCTGTGTTTGCTTAAATCCAAGAACCAAGTGAAAGAATGTTTTTAATTTAGCATCAAAATCAACGGATTCAGTAAATTCAAACTTTCATGTCTTTTTCTATTTGTTTCATTTTAATGTGATATGATGCAGATATTGAACCAAACCACATAAAATCTGCTTTTGTTAAAGTTAAAAAATCCTGGCCAATTTCTACAATCTTTGATCAAAACTAGTAGGAGTCGCTGTGGAGGGTCCAAAGAGCATCATGCAGCTCAAAGTCGCAGGTAGTTGACCTATGACCTTTACACTGAGTGGCCACGTTTTCAAAATGCAAACTCTGTACAGTCAACAGTTCACATACAACATAGACATAGATTTATTCCATCCTATTATAAAGATACCAAGTAGTATCTGAGAAGTAAAACATCTGTATCCTGTTTCCTGTTTTGGTTCTTTATGTTTTTGACATCAACCTGCCAATAGGATCAAAATTAGCCACTTGGTTATAATCTTATGTGAATATGCTAATGTTCTTTCATGTGTATCCCTCCATTTTTTTAAATAAGCTGAACTGAATAAGCAGACAATGTCTTTAATAATTTAATTGTTGCTTATTGGGGGTAAAGAGACAATAAATATCAACAGATGGGTTTCAAAAAACAAAAAAGACAAACAACTCGTATTAACTGTGTATTCAAATCAACAAATCTGAATATGTGTTCGTATCGGTGCTGAGAAAGTCTACTAGCTCTGTGTAGAGAAGTTTGACCTCATTAGCACAGCAATCAAACTGGAATTCAGAAAAAAATTACATTTTCGCTACAATATACAGACTTTCTCAACCTCAAATCTCATTGCAGTTCTCATTGTCTTCCTCCCTCTTGGCAGCTATCTTATCTGTGTGTTTTCCAAACATTCATAGAACGATCTTTTTGTTACAGCAACAAACTTTATGTCTTTTATTGTGGTTGATGTAAAAAAAAACTTTATATGGCCTTGAGTTTGAGGAAGCTCATAACTGTGCTGTCAAAGGCAAATCATCCACAATCTTTAAAAATGTTTATGAAATAATAATATAACCTTTACCTGGATACAAAGCCTAAAGATACAATAGAGCTATAATGGAATGGTTTTGCTCAAAAGACACTAATTAGTTGAAATGGTCAAGTAAAGTCCATACTTAACATTCAAGCTAGGCCCCGTGTTAACAGTGTGGGTGTTAGCATCCAGCAATTGAAAATGTATGTGTTTGCACACATTGCAGATATATTTAAATAATCTCAGAACCTGGTAAAGATTACATATTTTTGGCCGGTGACACAACAACTATGTTCAAGTGAGACTTCCTCTTTGTACACAAGCTTCATTGTTTTAATTATATTCTCTACCTGCTAAACCTTTTTAAGATCTAGAAGATACGTCAAGCTCTATATTATTCCTGCAAGTATTTAAGTCTGTGTGTAACACTTATATATAACCGATTGTGAATATCATAAGTTTTATATACAAAACAAGAAATAATTTGAAAAAGTCTCTTATGTCTGATATTGTTCCTTTTTAATTATTTATTTGTGTTATTTTTTTATTATTATTATTTTAGTCTTGAGAAGACCAAATGTTACTTTATTCATTTTACTTTCACTTCAGTGAATTAAAGTAGTACTCCTCTTACTTGTGTACATTTTTCCGTATTCTACCCACCTCTGTTACCACTTACTTGAGAAAAACTTTCTCTTAAGTAAAATGTCTGGATAGTTTTAAGTAGGTTTTATATAATAAAGCAGATAATGTGACACTTTGGATTTAAGACAATACTTAGTCGCCATCTACCGACATTAGCGAGAAATTGTCTAGTTGGTAATTACTTCTTGCTGTTTCAAGTTCTTCGTGTAATTTATTCTCAGTTTTGTTCTCCGTCCCAAAAGTAGATAAATAAAGCTTCAACTTATAAAATATAACATTCGCAAAGCAGCTAAACATGGGGCCAGCTAATAGCTAAACAGTTTGTCCGTCCTTCACAACAGTCCGACTGGAAACAAAAGCTTGATCAATGGCAGGTACTCCGTTGGCTGCATGTAGCGTTTTACTAAATAATAAAACACTTAAAGTAAATCCAAAGCGTGGATTTAGTTGCTCATGAATGGACGGTGTACCTTGTCTTCGTGTGTGTTGTTGTCAGGCACAGCAGTTCAGGTGAGTGTCTGTTTACGTCGAAAGCTGATAGCTTAGTAAGCTAACAGGTACCAGGAAGGAACTGGTAGAGCGTCAGAAGATTATTGTGTTTTTAAATAACGTTTTATTATTATTTATGACTTAGTATGATTTCTTTTATTGTACAGGGTGTATCTCCAGGCCAGGGGGATGTTCGACCAGAGTTTTAGCTTGGTTAAACAGCCAGACGGGACAGTCCTCCTTCCTATGTCACCATCCTGCCTCTCACAGCTGGATCTGCAGTCTGTCAGAAACTCTTTGTCTCCAATTGTTTGTGATCTCACCTGGAGTAAGGTAGCTACCGCCACTTCAATACCTCATTTAGGATTTCTGTTGTATTTACGGCGATCAGATGGACTGAGGTCCCCTGAAAAGTTTAAAAAACGTATAACTAATATTTGCACACCTGCTACATTGTTTCATTTCCCATATTCTGATATTTGAAAGGTATGGGTGTATCTGAAGACATCTATGTTGGGAAATAATATTGACAATAAATAGATTGTTTATTGCAGTCAGTGTACTAAGTCTACTGCTTTTTCAGTAATAACTCTTCAAATGGTGGCATGATGGTCTTTGCACAGAACCCATTTCCAACTGGTATAATTTCCAAGTGGCATAATTTTTGCTAGAAAACAAATCAAAATCCAGTAATTTGGTATTCTCCAGAAATTGCTGTGAAAGTAAAAAAAATTGTTCATTTGTAAGGATCCTGAACTTAACGCTGTGGAGTGGTTCTGATTGTTTCTGGATGATAATGCCGCACATTATTTTGCTTAGTGATTCTGGCAAGCTTGATTCACGTAACATGTTTTTATCAATACTGAGATGTGAAATTGGCTGTAGTGACGAGCAGCGCCACATAGAGCATGATTGACAGCACTAAGCCCTGCCTACTGACTGACTGGTTGTTTCTAGTTAGCACTAGGAACACTGGGAGAAGGCAGAGGAGCTCAACTTTTTCACAGACTGTGTCTCATAAAACTGTCATGACATGGTGACAGTTTCAACAAAAATATAAAATCATTTTTTTGTTTCATAAAAGTTACATATTGAAGCTTTAAGGTGTTTAAAATCTCTCCTTTTCTCTCTTTAGTCTCCTCAGTCAAAAAAGGAGAAGGGGAGAAAAACTGTAAATAAACTGGAGAGAGCCATCCAGGAGTTGGTGGAGTTTCGGGGTGACACATGGACGGAGGAGATGAGGAGCGATCTTCCTCTGAGCTTCCAGAGGCATGGAGACCTCGTCCTGCTGGGTGACAGCTGCTTTACTCTGCCGATGTGGGATAAAATAGGTACCGCCTCATTCACTTTAGTACAAATTGCAGAAAATGTGTTCATTTCGAATGTTCATCACTGGGTCACGCTGAACAGATGCCCAGAGCAGATAAATGTGTGTTTGTGCCATAACTTTCTCCAACTTAACAGAAACAAAACTGAAGTGATGATCTTTCTAGAATCAACACACAGCTTCAGTTATTATAACTAAGAACTACTAATAAGGCCTGAAACCTGGGAGTAGTGATGGACTCTGACCTGAATCTTCAGAGCCACAAAAAGATAGTTACAAAGTCGGCCTTCCAGGAATGATAATGCAGAAGAACATGTCCAGGATCAGAGGACTAATGTCTCAATAAGATCTAGAGAAACTCATCCATGCGTGTATCTTTAGTCTCTTTGATTACTGAAGTCCTCACATCTATCCTCCAGCTACAGCTGATCCAGAACGCTGCTGCTCATATGCTGACTAAAGCCAGGAAGATGGAGCACATCAGCCCAGTTTTAAAGTCTCAACACTGACGCTCTGCAGCTCAGAGAACAGACCTTAAAATACTCCTCCTCATTTATAAATCACTGAACAGCTTAGCAGCACAATACATTAAAGATCTGCTGTTTTCATGGCAACCTTCCAGGTCTTCCGGTTCCTTTCAGGAACTTAGAACTAGAACCAAACATGGAGAAGCTTCAAATCTGGAACAAACTACCAGAAAACTGCAAAACATCTGAAACACAGAGTTCCTTTAAATCCAGACTAAAGACCCAGCTGCTTAGAGTTGCTTTTAATTAATAACTGAAACATTAATCACCATTTTGATGTGTAACGATGACAAAATATAATGTTTTTTGTCACCAATTCTTTTCTGCTATTCTTTATTATAGCTTTGTCATTTCATGTTTTTTATGATGCAAAGCACTTTGAATTGCCTTGCTGCTGAAATGTGTTGCACAAATAAACTTTATTGATTGATCAGTTTCTCTGATGTAGGCGATCAGTTATGGAGTGCAGTGACCAAAGAGCTGAGGGCGAAGCGGCTTGCAAAGATGAGTCGAATATCCAGGGAT